GACCAACTCTTGACTTGGTGACAATCCTTATCTTTTTTTGTCTGCCTAAAAAATCATTGATAATATTAGAATTGGAACCACTTGAAATATAAAATTATAGGAAATTGTCTAAGCTTTCCAGGAAAAAAAATTGATGTCATTTGGACTTCTGGAATTCTAGATACGGGCCAAACATTGAACAGTGTTCGGGCTGCAAGATAGATTTGGACTTCTTTGTTATTTCTCTTCATTGTTGCTACAATTTGGACTTGAAAATAGCCTTTTTTAAATCTTAGGCTTCACATGAAAGTTGTATGCCTATGTCTTATCTTTTCATTTATATAAAGTAAACCTAAATCTGAGACCTACAACTCTAGATATGACCCAATTACCAAACAGTGTTCTGATTTAGATTTCACCAACATTTTTTTTCTAAGTTTGACAATCTTTTTGCCCTTTCAATTTTAGTTTTTAAACTTATCAATCAATCCTTTTATTTATGTGATAAACCTTCATTTAAAATTAACATTAATTACAAATTAAAAATATCTTATATTATTAGATATGTTATTATAAAACATGCTTTAATTGAGGAGTTATTGATACTTCAAGTGTAAAATAATAATATAAAATTTTGATAAAAATATATTTTTAAGTAATAATCAGCTCACCAATTAAAACTTAATTTTACTGTATTTTTTTTAAATAACATTATTTTAATTATTAAAAAAAATATTGTAACTATACGGTTTTTATTGATTGTAATTTAGTAGTTGAAGGCGCCGAGTAATCTAACCCCGGTTTTCTACAAGTGACGAACCAGTCTGGTTCGATGAAAACATTTTGAAAGCCGCTTTCAGTCTGGCGCCTCTCTTCTCAAAAATTTGGCTCCAAACATATAATATAGTCTCTATAGAGAGAAAGGGTGTTGGAGTTTGAGAGAGAATCTGGAACATGGATGCTCCTCTTGACTTTGAATTTGAAGACCCACTTCTCAATTCTCCTGTTATTGTCAAGAAAAGGTCTGTGTCCCCCCCAAATCACTTATCTTGTTTTGGTTTTGTACAACTACTCTAGTTGGAAAGTTTGATCTGGGTATCTACTAGTTCAGTTTTCTAGTTTTTCTGTTTATGAGCATTGCTGTTGGTTATGTGATTATTGTGTATTATCTTGATTGATAGTACTGCTCATGATTTCATGGACCTTGTTTCATTTCTTTTAGAACCAGTTTTTGTGAAGCAAACCCTTTTTTGCTTTCTTATTATTTTACTTTCGAGGTGAAATTTTTTTAATTTGATTGAGAATCCATTAAGTAAGAGATGATATTCTCTGATAAAATGTAACAAACTTGAGGACTCGCTTGGCATTTGGAGCACCGATTGAGTACAGGATGTCATCTTACCCCCTTTTGTGATGTAATTTTTGTTGAATTTGCATTGCAAGTTTTGCTTTTGATAAATTTTTTGACTTGTTTGTTTTGTTTACAATACGAACCAGCAAGAAAGTTATTGGCTTGGATGATCTTTTGACTGATCACTACCAGGAGAAAAGCAAAGTGATAGAGAGGGAATCTAAACGAGCAAAAGCAAAGAAAAAATATGATTCAGATGAGGATGATTTTGACAAAGAAGCTTTACTATCAAAACAAATTAATGAATGCCACAATCAGGCATGATAGACTTCTCTTCTGTAGATCTTTGAATGCTTTTTAATGCCATTTTATGTCTTCCCTTTTGGCCATTTGACAAGTTGGTCCTTGATGTAGATGCAAGAAATGAGTGGTGAGGCAGAGATTGCCACGTGGGGTGTACATGTTTTTGGCACTCAGGTCCTCTTCTAATGAATGAATTTGAACTCATAGCTATGCTACTTAATGTTTGCTTTGGTATTTGGACTGGTTTCAACGGGAGTTCATTTTTTTGTAATTGATGGTAATTTGTTATTCTGTGGGTGAATTGCAGAAACCCCTTCCAGTTCTTACACTGCCTGAGCTTGGAAGTTGCTCACTTTTGCGGTCTTTCATGAGCAGCGAGCTCAACTCTTTGGTTGAACTCACCACAGAAAAAGGTTATTCATATTTCTACTTTTCTTGAATTATTTCTTGTCGTTTTCTCACCAATTCTGCATGTCTGCCTCTCTTTTCCTGATTCACACATGCGTGCTCTCACAAAATGAAATTTATATTTTTCGTTGTGATCAGTTTGAAGCAATTGTCTAACTATTCTACTTTCCTCTTTGACATGCCCTTGCAGTGGAAACGTTTCTTGAAGGACTATTAGTAAATGGTTGGCTCTCAAAATTGGTCAACACATGTAGCTATATGGAAAAATCAATAGCTAAATGGACATTCTATTTGAGTAAGTGTATCTGTTAGTGCCTAAGAGTTCATTTTGTTTTAATTTGATGTTATTTATGTGCTCATACTTTGGCTTGTTAGTGTTATATTCATCAAAAGAAAAGTTGAGAGCATCTGCCTGTGACTTCTGGTGCAACATTCTTTTTCCTCGGGTTAAGGTGAACCTGATTTTTACTTTTATTGATTCGTTGCAAAGTTCTTGACACCTCATTTTGTGTTTTCATTAAGTCCTTTCAAGTATTATGGTTCTTTTTCTATGCTTAATCAGACCGAGAAGCTGCCTATCAGAATCGAGTGGTTTCCCAGTTACTGTGAGCTGAGAAGTGCTCTCGAAACATATGGATTTCTCTTCAATTATTTGTCACGGACAGAATCAATAATCAACAGTAAGTACTCTCACCTCTTTGCCACTTCTATATGAATTTAGGATGGTACATGCATGCATAAATACATAAACACATACATGAGTCCAACTGTCTGTACATATATCTCATGTATCCCACAGAAAAGAAAACATACATACTGTATTATATTACACATAATATACATGTGTGTAGTAGCATATACATATTTTGTCTCTTCGCTAACATACACCTTAAAATCCTTGTTGTGGCCAATAAAAGCAAGTCTGGATGCTATCATATGCAAGATACATGAGGCAAAGTTGGATGGTGGTGGTGATAGAAATGCTCCTTCCAGTGTGCAACAACACTGGTTTGACAAACCCTGTATATTGTATGTTAGATGGCAACATGCATTTACATTTTTGTTTCCTTTTTCTTCTGATCTGCACAATGTTTGATGCTTAATTTCACTTTACTGGCTGTGAATTGGGCTTGGTATTGCTTATTGTGAACTTTTTTGATAGATTTCTGTTATCTGATATCTACATGTTTTTAAGCTGAGTGATGTGGATGAGTGGAATCGTCTGCATGGGTAAAATACATGTCTTTAGGATTTTTGCTACAACAGAAACAATTTAGCCTATCAATATCCTTTTGATGTTCGAGGTTCAATTGTCAATGTGGACTGTCTTTGATGCAAGGCAGGATGTTGGGAGGAGGAAAACAACAGAAAACAGCAATTACAAGTGTAGCTAAAATCTGAATAAAATTAAAGTTGGACCAAGAGTAGCGGGTTTAGGATTGGAAAGAAACCTCTAAAATCTGAGGTGATTGATAAGAAACAAAAGATTGTCTTATAAAATAACTGCTGCAACCTTTTTATCCTGCTGAAATGCCCTGCTCCTAATCCTTTTGGAAACAAATTACCAAATAAAATGTCACATGGTGATCACATGCAACAGGTAAATCCAAATAACTTGCAGATATGTAAACTAAATAAGAAAACTAAGATGCGTAAGGAAAGAAGTATTCTTCTAAAAGCTTCCATGCCATCTTCTTTTCAAAGTTGATTGCAAGAAGGAATTGATCAATATGTAAGGTTCTTATCTGCATTCTCTCATTGTTGTGGTCCTGTGATATTCTTACATTGTTGTGTATTCACATCTGATTAGTCTGGGAACATCTGTTTCTGTGCTGTTTATGCCTTTTTTTAATGCATTGATACAGAGATAAAGCATTTGTGAGTTTTCCACGTCAAATACCAGTTTGATTTTTATTTTGTTTTAGTGAAGGACACCTGCAATTTGTTAGAAAGAACCATATGTGCCATGCAGATGTGAACCACCTATAGGAAATTGTTTTTACAATACATATATTATGTTTACCTTTCAGATTCAGGGGTTAGAGGGCCACCTAAAAATATTAGAGCCTGGATCAAATTTGTAGCTGCCTGTTGTTGTGTCAGGTATGAGATGAATATGAAAAAACACGAGTGAAATATGTGTTGTCATAAATTGGATATTGTCTTGTTCACATGTAAAATAAAGCTGCAAATACTACTACTAGTTTGAAATGTGTTTTTATTTTTTATTTTTATGGTTAATGAGGTTTATTCCTTTTCAGGAACAAACGGCCTGTATTTTCAACTTCAGAAGCTGAGGAACTAGTTGAAGTTGCTGTTTTCCTTTCCTCAGATCGCCAGCTTGAAGGTTTACTGGTGCTTTTGGATGAATTTGTGCAATCAGTTATCAGTTACTTCACAGATGAAGAATGGAATATCAGCTGTGAAAAGATAGCAAGATCCATCTCTTGCAGGTAATTGCTTTTTAGCTCTTACCACTGGACTTCTCGGATCATTATGGTCTATTTTTTAAAATGCCTTTGTTGAATTGGTGCTCATCCAAATTTCATTGAAGAACTTGTTCTGCTTACCATTTCCCTCTGTGGCTTTTCCCCAATCTGGTTTTAAGAGTTCTCTGAATGTTAGTAATTTGTTTCATGGTTAGCAGAAGGGTGGATGTACACTCTTTGCTCATATCCTTTGCTTGCAGGTAATTGCTATATAGCTTTTAGCATTGGACTTCTTGGATCATCATATCCTATTTTCAAATATACCTTGTTGCATTGGTTTTCATCAAAATTTCATTGAAGTACTTGATCTGCTACCATTTCACCCTGTGGTTTATCTCCTATCTGTTTTAAGAGTTTGCTGAATGGTAGTAGTTTTTATATGGTTAGCAGAGGGTGGATGTACATTCTTTGCTCATATCTTTACCTGGAGGTTTTGCTCCAAGTCTAAGGATAGAAGATTTTAATTTGGCTCATATCACAGTACCAGGTTTTATGGCTGTTGGCTTGTGCTTGTAAGTTTATGTCAGCCTGAAATATGCCAAAGGTGAAATGGATACCATGTTTTGTGTTTGTGTGATGCAAATAACTGATAAGCAAAAAGTGAAGATTGAAATCATTGGAAACAAACTCAGCAATTGTTAGTTATTTTTTTATCTAAAAAAATGGAATGTATGTTAACCTCATTTTGTCTGGAATATGATATGGTGCTTGTCATTATTTAGCACATCTTTCCACAAGTAAAGGGGTGTAACCTCCCATATGATGTCTTCAGATTTGATAAGTGATGCAACCTCACCTTATGTACACATTACACATCACAAACAGGTTTGGGGCTTGAGGGGTTGTCACGAGGAAGTTACTTATTATTTAGATAACTAATGCAATTGTTGCAACTTGATATGTAATTTTAAGAAAGTGGGAATCCTTAAAAGAAAGATAGATGGAAGGCAATAATCTGGCTCGCTTGTGACTGATTTCTCTTATTCTTGTTATCATTGGTTATTCCAGAAGCCCCAGGGACTTGAACTGTTTGCAGACTGTGGAATGCATTTCAGGAGTTAGCACTCGTGGCAATCACCTGAGGAGTGCGATTTCTTATCAGATTCTGCTTAATTGTTTCGATAATAAGGTACTCATGTTCATCTCTGTTAATAGCTCAATTAAATTCATTCAATTTACTGTTTATACTTGTTGATTCTTTTGTTGGGGAATTTCTAAATTATTCTCTAGTTTCTTGTCATCTATGGCTCAAGTTACTTTTGATTATATAATTTCTGTACATTATTTGCCAGTGATAATAATTAATGTGTGTAAAAACTATAGGCTTTACAATGATCTAACAGTTGGACATTCTGTTTTCTTAATATGCTTTGCTTAAAAACTATAGGCTTTATGATGATCTAATAAGTAGGAGATTCTGTTATCTTAATTCTTTGATTGTAGTGCATTGAAGGATTTCATTTTCCTAACAAGCATAAACTATCCATTTGCAACATAAATTTACATCAGTTAAAAGCAAAGTAAAACTAACAGTAACATGAATGAGATAACGTCAGAAATTTACATCTTTTAATGTAAACGGAAAATTAACACTAGTATGAATGAGGATGATGCAAGATCTCCACTTTTAGCTTCTCATAAACTAAGTTGATTGTTATCAAAATGCCATTGCATTCAAACTGTACTGATTTGTGTACAGAAAGATAGATACAGTGCCATAGGATCTTCATAGTTTTCTGGGCGATGTAACTGCTGTTATTTATTGAGACTTTTTTTTTTTTTCCTTTACTGGCCTAGGAATAATGGATAATCGTTGACATGCCCTAAACATTTGAGTCTGGTTTGTTTTTTGTGCATACTGACTTAGAGTGAACTGGGTGTTGCTTATAGCATCAGCCAAATCATGCTATTGACAAAAATATAATAATCTTCTGATTAGAGTGACTTTATAGTCAGATTTCTTGCACTCTGCTTTTCCTGAATTTATCTTATTATTTTAAGAATAGTTACATATGCAATCACAAGTTTATGAATACTCCTCTGGCAAAACATTACTATTGCAACATAAATTCAGTCTAAACAGTTTTGACTGGTTGAATGACATGCATGGATTTTGAACCCCAAATGTCTTGGGCCATATTGGACTGTATCCATTCAGGTTCACTTTTGTCACATTCCTCAGGCTTCCAACGAAGAAGAGATCCTGAGTTTCCTCATATCCATAAACGTGAAAGACCGAAGTTGTGATCTTTTCCAGATGTACATTTACCTGGTTTTGACTGAAAACTGGCTCTTGTCCAATCCAATGTTTGAACTCAAGCCAGTGATCTATGAAATGTGGGGTGTTTATCTGCGAAACTGTTCTTGCCAAATCACAAGCACAGATATGAGGCCCTATGCATCCAAGGTGTGCTGTTAAATGCTCTTATCTCTATGCGCTCAAGTGATTTTCATTAAGAATTTCTTTCAATATTTCAGGTCCGCACTAAAGCTTCGTATATTCTATTTGGCACCACCAATAAATAACTATTATAAAGTATGTGTCCCTACACAGCCCAAAAAGAAAGTGCTATTTTTTTTTTTGTAAATTATGGATAACTGTTGATTGATGCCCATCTTTTGTAAGTCTTCTGATGGAATACAAGGTATAGGTGCTGAAATGTAGCAGAAAGGAAATAAAGAGTATATCCACATGTGAATTAAAAGAAACAAGATTGCAATTATTTATTAGTGGCAAGTGGTAAGTCAGCACTCAGCACTCTTTATATTTGCTATTGTCGTAAGTTCTGCTCAAAAGTGTCTTTGTTCACTTCATATGCTACTCACCTTGACATGGAGGCAATTTTGTCCTTAAAAAGATTGGCAAGGACAGTTAACTCATTTACTCTGATGTTTATCCGTGTGCACAAAAATGGCCAAGGTTGGTCGTCTTTGTTAAAATGTTGTGCTGTTTTTAGAGGGATTTCTTGTCTTGTGGACATGATATTTTCCTACTATTTTTTATAGCATCAAGATACTGCATTCACTACATTTCCTCTGTCGGGACTGTACTTCATGGATTGCACCATTTTCAATTTGTGCAGAATAACATGACATGCTGAAGCTTTTCCAAACTTAACCACATAGCATTTCATGTTTACAGGGAAGTCTGAAATTTGAACCCGCTGTACAAGTTCTAAGCATTCAAAATACAATCTCCTTTTGAATTCTTTAAACCTGCTGATTCCCAAGCTGAGTTGTGGGAGAATTAAAGGAAAGTTTGGCAGGATTTGGTTTGGTTAGGCAATCCCTAGTAATCATATCTGTATAAATGGTGCATTCAGAAGAGATTCCACCGTACTGTACGAATATTTAAGTTCCAGGAGGGAACAAATGGCGCAGCGCTTCTCCCCGCCTCAATTTTTATATTGAAGTCAGGTTTTATTGCTTTTGTATTAAGATGGTTATGTTGGGGTGGTTTTAGGGGGCTTAACCAATCATTTTATGCCCACCTCAAATCATTTGTTCAATAACATTAGGTGTTTGTAAAATTGGCATAAAATTTTATGCAAGAAAATTGAACCCAAATACTACTCACATGACGTGCTCTTGAGCAATTGAGGGACACTAGATTGTGAGACAACCATATTTATTTCAAAATCTAAATCCTAATCCTTTACTAAAAACAAATTGAAACCCTTTTAAATTCTAACCAGATCACGGATAATCATATCAGAAGAATTCTTTTGTTTTCATGGGTTTTTGAGCCGTAAATTTTAGTTCATTTAACATTATTCATCTAAGATGGGAATTAATTGTTTGTGTTCATCTCATTTCCAATTAATACAACGATCAGATGGCAATTAACTATTAGTTCCATTTAAGTGAAATTAAAAAATACAGGGTGTTAATGACATGCTAAGTTAATTTTAGGCAAAGGATATAATGATGGGTTGCTCCAAAGGGAATGTGCTAAAACGGTGTTGAAAAAAAAAAATCCTTAAATGGGCTTCCTCTGTATTTATGGAGAAAGTTAAATTTAGGACGATGGATGCCCTGGATGCATAGGAGTTCTCATAGCAGGCCATTTATGGGAGATGCCAGGCATCCAGCTTCCCTTCTTAAAAAGGTAAAAGGAGACAAAAAAAACATTTGAGAACTTTTGAACCTGCGAAAATGGAAACCTGCAACTTGGACTATGGGAGCCGGAGGAAGGATTACATGCAGAAATTAAGTACTCATTTTAATAAAATCTAATATTAAAAGATCATATTTTACTATGGATTTTTATAATAAAATTATTATTTTACCCTTAATAATTTAAGTCTTCTAGCATGCTTTTTGAGTTATATAGTATTTTCCACGGAATACATTTGCTATTCCTAGATAGAATGGGAATAAATAAATATTTTAATATTTGATTTATATAATATAATATCTAAAATATTTTTAAAAGTTAATTTTTATTTTTTTTTTATTTACCTGGGGTGTCCGGGCCAGCTTGCGCGTATCACGACTAATCCTCACGGCCCACTGAATATCCTGCAAACTCAGTAGGCATGTAAGACACCGCGGAGATAACAGACATGCACACCAGGACTCGAATCCAGATGTAGTAGAAGGAGACAAGCCCGTCTACCATTTTCTTAACAATAAAGGTAATAGCATTTTCAATTTTCTTAACGCCTTGTGCGTCGTGTATGCAAGACCACCTAGTGGTTGAATATCACATTTTAAGGCAGTATTCAATATATCTTGCCATTCCCGTCATTGTGGTTTGGTGCTTGTAGTCACCAGATGTACAGTGAAGCTTTGATGACATTATTTTTTTTATTTTAAAAAATGCATAACTCCTGGGAGAAATAAAAACCGCGTGTTATTTATTAAATTTATTATACTTCATTCTTATTTTTTTTTAATTATGTCAAATTTATCTTTTTATTTTATGATATTTTAGGTTTGACCCTTAATTTTTTAATTTATAATTTATAATTTAGATTTTTAGTACTTTTACCAATTTCATCTTTAGATTTATGATCTTATTTTATATATATATTTGGTTCTCATTTTATTGATTTTTATTTTTATTTTGAATTTTTTTGTGAATTTAATTTTTCTTTTTTATTTTGTTCTTCATTCAATAATTGATGATATTTAAGATTTGACCGTTAATATTTTAATTTTTAATTTTGATTCTTAGTTTAATTTATATTTAATTTCATCTTTAGATCCAAAATCTTGAATTTTTTTTTTTAGTTTGGTCCTCATTCTTATTTTGGATTCATTTGTTGCTTTGATTTTTTTTTTTCAATTTTTCCCTCTAATTCAAGATTTTAGTTTATCCTCTTTTTCCCCCCCTTCAAATGAGGTTTTTATTATCTTAATTGCTATTTTTTTATCCTTGATTTTTTTTTTAATTTCATCATTCAATATTTAATTTATTAAAATTTGATCTTATTGGTTTTTTTTCATTATTTATAGGCTCTACACAAGAGTCAATCTAGAACAACTATTGGGTTACAGGTTACATGGGTTGAATTGAGTTAATTTAAGTCAACCAAATCTTTTTATATATTAAAAAAAGTCATTGTACCATTGTGAAAAAAAAGAAGGGAAAATAGTCAAAGGTTTTGACTCTATTTTGACTGGATTTGCCCTCGGTTAACCGAAATCTGGGTCAATATGCGTCTTTGATCATCTTACACTAGATGAATTCTCTAGGGGTTAACCGAAATCTGGGTCAATATGCGTTTTTGATCATCTTACACTAGATGAATTCTCTCCTAATTTCTTTTGAAACTCACCTTGATCTAAGCTGTGATTCACTTGGATCACGGTCAACTCGTCAGGTCAAGCTAAGTTTTAAAATAATAGCTTTCCTAATGCGGTGCTTCTAATTTAGTCATCATCTAGGGTCATGAGTTTAAAAAGTTAAAACGGGTTGACATCGTTTTCTTTCTTAAGTACATCATTCGAAGTTATTCATTTTAAAAAATGAACTTCATTATTTTTTTTAGTTTTCTTTTCAATCAGGATATTCATATTCATGATCTAGGTGGGAGGCTTGTTCGGGTGGCACTTGTTTTTTAGATCATTTTTTTTATTTTTTTTTATTTTATCTTTTAAAATTCAATTCTTTAAAAAATTAAACATTGTTTTTTTTCTCTCATTTTTCTTTTTATTGGATTATTCCATCTGCATAATCTTACTCACAGGTTTTGATAACATTACCTGGTTTTGCTAATGCTTTGTTTTTGAAGATTTAATTCTTGAGGATTAACAATTATTATTTCTTTTTAATTCTTTTTCTATGATGTTAATGTTATTCTAGGATTAAGGCAATAATAACATATAAGGGGGTGAATTGAGTGCTTTACTAATAACAATACAAATCACAATTAACTTAATTAAACACAATTAACCAACAATATAATTAAAGTGTTTAAAATAAAATGTATAAGGATAAGAATTACAAACTTAGTTCTTAATGTGGTTTGGTAAGCCTATTACATCTATATCTCAAGTACCAAACTGGTCTTGAATATTATATTCTTTATAACCCATGCTAAAGATTACAATGTTCTTGATAAATCCTCACCAAGCCCCTTTTCACTACTTGAAGAAATACTATTTTCAAGATTTTTCACCTTGGTGATGTACTCACCAAAGACCAAAAGTTTTTCATTTAAATTCTTGAAGAATTACAATTTTTAAACTATAACAACACTCTCTCAAAGAGAAAATAATATAACTGAAGCTTATATTTCTCTAGCTCATTCAATAACACTTATAATGTATGTAAGTATTTAAATGTAGCGAGTATAAGAATTTATATTTTGATACAAGAGTATAAAGGTTTTAATGTACAAATATGAGTATGGTTTAAAATTGAATATATATATATTCCTAGTAAAAACTAGTTATTTTATAGCAGTTATTTTATTTTTTTAATAGATAAAATGGTCGACTAGTTTATATCAGTCAAGCTAATTAGTTGATCGGTTCCTGTAGATTCTCAGGCATTCATATATGATAAACACGTGGTTAACCAGTTTATTTGGCATGGCGAAATAGTTGACTGATTTAACTTAAAATCCATTCGTAACATTTTCTATGAATTGAACTAACTAAATGTCTATCAATTCTATAATGCATGTAATGTGAAGATTATAAATTCACTTTAATTTGTATTATTAAGTTAGATATAAAGATTTATATAATTTACACTAAAATGAACCCTTAAAATCTAAGTCTTTACTTATTTTGTATTTTAGATTTGTTGATTGATTTTTTTATTTAATTTTTTATGTTTATTAATGATCTTCATGTAAACTTGTTTAAATTTATTTTCAACCAAGTATATTATTAATTAATTTTTATTTAATTATTATCATTAAAATAAATAAAAGATTAATATGTCCCTCATAGATTAATAGTAAAGTTATGATTATTTTTTTTTGGTTTTGTAAAATACACAAGCAGCCTTTAAAAACCATTTTTTTACATTAAAAAAAACAATCAGTCTAGCGAACAGGAAAATATGGAATAAAGTACCTTGCTAAGCTGATTGATTCATGCTTACCATTTAACCTTGTCCCATATCAAAATATTTTATTACACCACGTAGTTGATCTAAGCATTTTCCCAAACAATCATGATTATTTCTCTAAAAAAAAAATAGCATCCGTTCTATTATAATTTAAATATATTTTCATGCATTTTATTGATGAAAAAACTTAAATAAATAACCAAAATATTTAAACTTTAAAATAATAAAAATATTTTAAATTTATTAGTTTTTTCAAAATTAACAACATTAGTTAAATAAATAATTTTATTTATGAAAACTAAACAAATGTAATAATAAATAATAAATGGATTTAAAAAAAAATAAAATTAGGTATGTTTATATATTTTCATGTATTTTATTTATGAAAAATATTAAATAAATAACCAGAATATTTAAACTTTAAAATAATAATAAAATAGTTTAAATTTATTACTTTTTTTCAAAATTAACAAGATTAGTTAAATAAATAATTGTATTTATGACTTCATGACAAAAAAAATAATTTTATTTATGAAAACTAATCAAATTTAATAATAAATAATTAATGGATTTTAAAAAAAAATAATAAATTAGTTATGTTTATATAAATGAAAATGACGAGAATTATTGTTGTTAGAACACATTATTCTATCATATCCTATGCTTACCAAATAAGAAACGGAATAGTTGTAAAGTCTCAAAAAATTATCATACGGACTTGCTCCACCACCTAATATCATAGGCCAAGCTAATAATTTTTTTTCTAAATTTATTCACATCATTTTGTGATGAATGCATTATGAATTATTTCATTATATAATCATAACTTTATTATTAAATGTGAATAAGTTCACATTCTAAATATTATTTACTAAATATATGATTTCAATAAATTTAATCACATACGATAGAACTATTATATATAATTAAATATAATTGAAATGAGATGTTAAGATGAATTTTTAAATATAAGTTATAGCAAAAAAAAGGTCTCTTAAGTTAACATTTTGTTACTATCATGGTATAAAAGATATAAAAA